AGCCAAAAGTATCAGACAGGTTAGGCCTGAAGCCTCCACGGCCCATTATAAATGTTATGTTTTCTGACTGAAGAGAGAACAAATTTTGTCCCTCCTCAACAGTCAACATTGGGGAAACAATGTTCAGCAAAAACCTTTAGAGCCCAATGTAGGGACTAAACTTTACACCATTTTCACCTACAAAACTCATGTAGTGACACTACTTTACCATATATTCTGTGAAGCGTCACGACAATGTGATCAAGTGACCATATCAAAGGCAAGGATCACTTTTATTATTATTATCAAATAAGGGTTTATTATTAATACGAAAGCATGATTTGTGAAATCTTCATCCTGCCTCCAGATTGTCAGTCTTCTCCAATATATGATAAAATTGTCAGGAATTTGCTTTGTTCAGTCTACTCACATGTCTATTATAGAATTCACTGAGCCAATATGCGACATCTTTGACGAAATCCATTTTATCAGGCCGATTTTTCTGAATCCAGCAGAAAGGGCAACGATGTGACAAACAGGTTCTGCACAGGAAACCAAAAAGCATTGACTTATAATGAGTGTGAGTTGCTGCACTTCACTTTCAGTGACTCTTTCCAGAATGGAATGTTGAACTCCAATTTTTTTTAATTCTGTTTAATGTGTCTGGAATGCAGACTTGCCAAGATAGTTGTGAATGTTGACAGTCCTGTTTGTTTGGATCATTTGGGCAGGGTTTCTTTTTGGTTTTATTGTTTTTGAGTTTTGTTTCTGACATTTTGTTCCCTGTTTGTCTTTGACTGGAATGGCCATAAAACACCCTATGTTGTGACCAAAGAACATATTTTATGAACTCTAATTTCCTTTTTAAAACAAAATTGTTCATTTGGACAGAGTTAAACCAGTTTTACACAGTTTCTTGAGTTGAGAGATTGAATCAGGTAAATCTGATTACAAGCTACTTATGGATGGATACACATTATGAGTTTTAAAAGCAATCACGAAGTGTAAGATTTAAGATTGGGATTTCATTTGAGTCAAGCAGTTCCAATTTGAATAATGATGTGTCTTCCTTATAGCCATTTTTAGGGTATGTACACCATCTGTCTTCTAAACAGCAACAGTACATGGGTGGACATATAGCAGGCGGATCTTGGATATGTTTCAACTGCAGTGCATGATATGATGGGTGTCAGCCTACAGCAACAACAACTCACACTTACATACCTCCTTTCACTTAGGATAATATCTCAAAGTGCTTTAAAGAAAAAAAAATACCTGAGCTAAGTGAGAAAAAGGGATATGAGAAAGTTGATCAAAGGCATGGTCAAAGAGGAAGATTTTTAGAAGGTTTTCATCAGAGGTTATGTATGGTCTGAGACAGGTGGATTTTGGAGGGAATTCCAGAGAGCTTGGGCATAGTGGTTGAAAGCTTGGCTACCAATGGTAGGCTGGAGGAGTGAGTGATGTACAACAAACCTGAGATTGCAGAGTGGAAGTTGCAGGCAAGGGAGTTGGGCAGGAGGACATTGCAAGTTGGGATGGAGTAAGGGCGTGGAAGCGATTTGAAAGTCATGAAGTCAATCTGCTGAGGGTACAGGGAGCCAGTGGAGGCTGGTGAGGATTTAAGGATATCACATTAGACCATAATAAAACATAGAATGGAAAATGACCCATCCTACCCACTCATTCCATCAACCCTGCAAAATCCACCAGATTCATTCAACAAACACCTTGAGGCTTCAAAGGGAAGAATGAAACAATGACAACAACAATAAATTACACTTGTTTAGCGCCTTTCATGTTGGGAGTATGTCCCAAGGCACTGGACAATCATGGATTTGGACCCGAGCTGGGGTGTGGATCAGGAATTAGAATAAAAAAATACAAAAGCAGGGTTGGTATTCCGGAAGGATGAGATGAAATGGACTGAAGTTTCTAGCCCCTACCCCTCTTTGATCTACTATAACCTCCAGTTTGTTTTTTTTGAGAAAAATTTACTCAGATGGTGGTTTGCATCATGGTCTCCTGGCCCACCTCTCACTCTATCCGGGTATGATGGGAGGCCCCACATTAATGCTAACAAAAACTCAATACCTTTGCGGTCATAATGGTTGCGCCCGCACTCCCCCACTGAGCGACCACAAATTCTACTGTTGTCAGAATAAATTGGTATTTTTCAAATTACTGCTTGAATTTATCAGAATGAGTCTGTGCAAAGCAATTTTCTATCAGAACCATGGTGTAATTTACAAATTTTAGTCATAAAGAGGCTGCTCATCTATAGACACAGCTGCAAAATTTGCCAGGGATCAATTGTGAAATGCTTCGAGACATTTCGACATGATAAGGTGCTGTAAAAATGCAAGTTCTCTCTGCTACTTTTCTTTGAAAAATTTGTGTGAATCTGCTTGTGAGTTGAAATTCTCCACAGACTGTAATTGTACAGTCACTTACACAGGTGAGACCCTGAAGACTACTATTTTTTATAATAATAATAATCCTTGCATTTGATATAGCGCTTTTCACGTCGGGAGGACATCCCAAAGTGCTTCACAGAACACACTGTAAAGTGAATTGACTGTATATTTGTGGGCGAACGCGGCAGCCAATTGCGCACAGCAATGTCCCAAAAACAGTCGTAGATTGAAAATGACCAATTTATTATTGTTTTTGGTTTTGGAGGGATTATTATTAGGTGAGTGGAGTAAGGAAACTTGCCCAAGGTTTCGCGCTGCCTGGAATTGAACTCAGGTCTCTCACTTGCAAAGCGAGTGCTCTAACCACTGAGCTACAGGACTCCACATCCAAATATGCATCCAAATATGGGCAATGTCTGAAGAGCAGGTGGGGGCTGGGCAGTAGGTGCCATCATGGCTTTAAGATTTGATCATATCTTCAAGCTCAATAAAATGTGTAAACTGTAATAACTCGACCGTGTTTACGGCCACCTTCCCCCACCACCCGGCTCGGAGTCAGGCTCCGCCACTGTTAAGTACTCTGTTATGCTACCCTGCATGGAGGGCAGTATATAAGTGCAAGTTGTTGTTGTATCACTAATACTTCCATTTCATACAATGCATAATTTTACTTTTTTTTAAAAAAGACACATGTTTATTGTCTGTTTTTCTCTCTATAACAATTGTATAGCATTTCTAGACAGATGACTTACATCACTGTGCCCAAGTACAGTACTTTAGTAGAGGAGGGAAGAAAATTGGGATTTGACCCTTGTCTGTACCGAATTTCCATGATACCTTTTAAATCACGCAAATACCTTCTGCCAAACAATATCAACACAATCCAAGAATGCTGAATACTGGAGAGAATAATACGATGAACTACACAACACTTATTTTTATATTGTCGCTCTTTTTCTATTGCATCACTCCCCCTGATGTTGTTCATAATTTTCCCAGCGGAGTGAGAGGACAAGCAACTCGCTCTGTTGGACACTCACTCCTACTGCTGGCTGTGCAGCCACTAGGAAGTGTACATGAGAGGCTCAGGGCAACAGCCCATCAATGTAAACATTGGCCCTGTCTCTTTGCCCAATCCTACTGACCCGGATGAGATAAAGAAACTGCCATCACACCACATGTGTTTTATTCAGTAACAATGTGAATTGTTGTAAATTTGTTGCTGTGTTATCTGTTTGGTGCAATAGGTGAAGTTGTGTTGAGTGGGGGAGAGGGGAAATAACCACATCATAAATGACGTATTTTTTCCCCCTCGCCATAGTGCCCAGAAGGTTAAAGGCATCCACTTTCACCTATGAGAGCCTTTCCCTGTGAACTCTGGACGAGTCTGGCTGGAAAGACCTGATGCTTAGTGCAAAAGTCCTAGTTTTTGCCTCCAGGTTTCGTGTCATCTGGTCTTAATGCAGGCAGCTTGAGGAGCTACCCACTCTGACTTCCTGTTTTGTTTTGAATGAATGAAAATTGCCCCACTTCCCTCCTTGCTGTCCAGACCCTAACCTTTCGAACTTCCTCCCCCTACTATTCTATTGGACTGGCTCCCCGAAAGGACTAGAGATTTTCAGGGAAAATGGAGGCCAACTCATGGTAGGGGAGGCACTAATTTACACCGGTGCCTAATTTGGTCTTAAACCCTCTGTGCATTTAAAAGCTTTTTGAGGGCTTAAAGAGGAGGACAGGATTCAGGTGGTGATTTGGCTATCATAGGCGAGGGTGACGCCTGGTCGATGATTTGCTGCTCGGAGCTTTCGCTCAACCGATTATCAGGCTCTGGGGTGGTAAATTTTGAGAGCCAATTATGGGGGAGCTCAAGAACCATTCACAGGGTCATTCAAGAAATGACCTACTTTCCCACAGAGCCAGTCCATCCGTGTCCCTGTCTCACCCTGTCTTTATTTGCCTTCAAATCCTGCCTAAAAACCTACTTGTTTAACCGCACCTACGGTCACTTCCCCTTTCCCCCTCGCTGAGAATCTGACACCGTCATTGGGAAGTGCTCCAAGACTTTATGCTACACGAATAAATACTTGTTGTCGTTGTTCAGTCCATTTGGCATGTGGATAATTGCAAAGTATGTGTCAATACTGTTTACTAATGTGGTATTAAATAATCGGTGGTGGGGAAGGGAAAGAAAGAGGACACAGAGGGGGTAAAATTAAGAGCTTTCCACCTTCTCCCCGACAGAGTTTATAAATACTCATCTTGAGCTCATTTGCAAAAAGTATCAAAATTTGGGTGATGATAAATTACAGAAGAACAAAATAAAACGAGCCATGTTGCAGGCACTGTATCCACTCCGTTCCGGTCTTTCCCTTCCTCCCAAGCAGCATCCTTGTCCGGGGAGCAACACGTAATTTTATTTTCATGCTGCTGCTGCTGCCGCTACTTCAAAAAAAAACCCCTGCTGTATCATTTGTTTTTATTCAAACTGTGGTTTGAGCCAACGTGTGGGTTTTTTTTTCAACGTTGCTCTTGAACTTGGCCAGTGATAATGGATTAATCAGCAAATAAAATTCTTGTTTCCTTTCAATTTGAATCAGTCACGTGGTTCCAACTGTCTTTTGGGTAGCCCTGATGTTGCTACTGCTTCACTTGCTACTTGGTGAACGTCTCTCTCTCTCTCTCTCTCGCCAAATTGTGAAAGACATTTATGCCAGTGGTTTAATTCTGGACAATTCCTTGAAGAAAAGCAAAAGCCAAGATTTTACAATCAAGATGCAAAGGTAGAGCCCTCATTGTCTGAATGCTGTCCTGTTTTCAATGTCTGTATACATTTATTTATTTATTTTTTTGGGGGTGGGAGGTGGAGTGCGGATGGGTCTTATGGATTTTTGATGTGTCTTCCCTCCCCACCATGTGCCCCCCACCCCCCGGCCCCCCTGATCCTCCTCACACCTCCCAGTGCATTGGCACAGCTGCTCGCTCCTCTGAATGTCTTAACTGTCCACAGGGTATGTGGGGGGGGCATGGGAATGTTCAATAAAATAACTATTTTGATTTAAAATTAATAACTGCATTCGATAGGATGATTATGCTTTCTAAGATAGAATATACTCTGTGCATCCTGGCACACTGTGTACTTTACCACATAAACTAGGGCAGCTGCAGTTGCAGCTGAAGCGCTCAAAACCTCAACTGCAAATGCCCTCAAGAAACCATAAATAAAGCAGGGTTCCGAGATATGTCTAAGTGAAGTGCACTGTTATGGTCTGGATAATGGTCAATGACAGGAGCTGTATTAAAAATGACTGCCATCAGAGGTAGAGGTTGTTTGATTGTGATTGCAGTTGTGTGGGAGGAAAGTGACATCTTTATACACAATGGATGGGACCAATGCTCACCTAATGCCATACAAATAATGAGGTGTAATTTGCAGGTTAAGCTAACCATGTGCAAACTGACTTGTAGAGAAGGGTTTCACTTGTCCTTAATTCTGTTATAAGAATAAATGTAAAGGGATACAGAATCTCCTGAAATTCTTTTCAGTGGTTGTTCACTGCAGAATTAATAGAAACCCCCACTATGCACGTGCATTTACATATGGTTAGCACAACACGCAAATTAAATACCAATTTCCATATAGGTGTACAAATGCAACATGGCATTAACAACGGCACGTCGCATTTTACAGGATAGTTTGAACTATGAGCAAACCTTTAGCCCCGTAAAACCAATTCTTTGGGGACAGATAATTTTAACAGGAACAATTCTCATCTAAATAGTGCCTTTTAGGTTAGGAGGACATCTCAAAGTTCATCACACAGCTGAGTGATAACCAAAACTTGGGAGGAACTGAGGAGAGTGGGGAGAAAGGTAGCTGAAAGTGTGGTTGAAAAGTAGGTGTGGTTTGAAGGAGGGGAGGGAGAGGCAAGGAAGAGGGACCCCATGTTGGAGACCCAAAGAACGAGGGCAGAATGGCTGAAAGCTCACCCACCAAAGGGGGATTGATCAGATGGAGGACATGAAGCAGTCCAATGTTTGCTGAGCAGAGAGCGCGGCCTGAGCAGTGGGTTTTTGAAGGAGGTTGCAGAGGTACAGTGGGGATTGGAGAAACTTGAATTCCATCTGCTGGGGAATGGGAAACCAGTGGACCCCAGTGAAGATGTAAGTGATAGGCCCACAGAGCCTGGTGTATGGGAGAGGACATGGGTTGCAGAGTTCTGTATAGTCTGCAAGCGTGTGTATCTGAAGTGTTCAGTAACAGGGTATTGGAATATTCGAACCTGAACGTAATGAAAGTGTGGATGGTCTTGATGCTCCAGGTAACACTGCGGTAACACTGCAATTCTTAAATCATTACAAGGCATCCTCAACCCGAGTAAAGTCACATCCAGTCCATGACTTAATCAAATGGTGGCTGGCGGTGGTAGAAAGTCAATGGCGTGAAAGTCAGTCGTTGTATTATGCAAAATTCTGCACTATAAAAAGTAACTGAGCTGTACTGATACGGATGCAAACATTATGAATATTCATTGTGAGAACACAATGTTGAATACTGTAGTGTGTTCTACAAACCAGTTGTCCATTATTGGAATATAGTTGTGCAATATTTTGAATGATGTTCATCAAATGGTATTATGTGTACAAAAGGGATGTAAATGCATTTTTGTAAAGGCTCCAGGAGAAGACATCATCCACATGATCATTGTTAAAATTTCTTGCCTGCCTCCAACCTTGAAGCAAGTTGGTGTTGCACCCTTTATGTATCTGCCAGGCTGAAGAAATATAAAATGCAAATGAAATGGGTTTGAAGGACTCACTGCAAGGAAGAAAGGAGGACACTGGAGACATAATTGAGAAGAATGTACATCTTTTACTTTGACAACTAGAAAAATATTGCAGGTAAATAACATTATTTAGTGTAAAAAAAGTAATAAGATTTATAATTGTACTTATGCCTGCTGTAATCCACTGTAATTTATGCAATTTTACAGGTGATGTGGGTTCAATGTGCAGCAATGTATAATAGGATTCCTTAATAAGGAAACCAGATATACAATACACTGAATGATGGGATATCCAATTCAAAGCAATCACTTTTAATCTACCGGAGTTTTTGTGGGTTGGTATAACATGGTGCTGCAGACTAGAAGGAAATTTCACTTGGATTCTTTCCTAAGGAATTTGTCGAGTAGGGCATTGAAATAATTGAGCCTGAACATAATTAAATGTTCCTCATTAAGGAAACCTATAGAAATCACCAGATATTAGACTTCAATAATAATCATAACCCTTGCATTTGATAGAGTGCCTTATCACAGCTTCGAGACGTCTCAAAGCGCTTCACTGAATATACTGTAAAGTGTAGTGACTGTTTGTTCCATGGGCGAAACGCGACAGCCAAAATAAGTAGAAATATCTCAAATGTCTGCCTTAAATTTGTGATTCCGTGCAAAGAAATGTACAAAATAGAGTACAGGATGCATGGCTCTAAGGAAAACACTAATACTCTTCTATGTTTCATGTTTGAGAGGTTCGCCTTGCCAAGCTTTGGGAGGATGGTTCTCAGCGGGGTTCCTCCCCAGCCACAGATGACATAATTTCCTGGCCCTAAGCCGCCACACAACGATTTCCAGATGACCCCAAGAAATTCAGGCCGGGTGTATCCCAGAGCAAGATGGAGGAGTGATACTGGTGTGCTTATACCAGTGGATGTGATGGGACAGAATCACTAAAGAGCCCCATCAGCTTTGTCAACTGTGCAAAGCTCAACTGCATGCTATTAAGCAGGTGACCTATTTCACTGGGTATCTGGTAGTTGCGGAGGCACATTGGCATAACAGTTATCTATATTCTGCTTCAGAAGGTCTTTGGCCTCCTCTGCAAAGCTCTGGTGCATTGGAGGAAGAGATATTCCAGAGGCTATATCTATTTTGTACAAATGCCAGATCCTCAGCGAAGCATGTGGTACCTCCAGCGAGGCACCGCAAGGCATGATCCCATTCGCTTCGGTCACAAAGTGGTGAATTCCCTGCCCTGGGTGGCCACAGATAAGGTCTCATCACCAACGAATTCCTCTTCCTGATGTCTTCTAAGTATACAAAAATGGCTCTGGTCACTGCAATGCACAGGATGGAGCTGAAAAAAATTACGACTCAGCTGTAAAAACAAAGAGAACACAACAGAACCTAATGCCAACCAGCATATGTACACTGAAAATGGACATGGTTGTTGATTCCATTTTAATAATATAACAATAATCCTTGCATTTGATATAGCTCCTTTCAAGTCTGGAGCATTTCTCAAAGTTCTTGACATGATTTACTGTAAGCACATTTTGGAAAAAAGTTGCATACCCAAGTAATGTACAACAATAAACTACTGTACTTATATAAGATGGTTTCTTTTTGTTTCTGCATAATTTCCATTGAGGTGCTGCTAAAGTTACATTTATGCCTAGTGCTATTCACAAGATCACAAGATAAGTCTGGATGAAGGAGGCCCTTTGGCCCATCCAATCTCATCCTTCTAAAGCACCCACCATATCGTCTCCACAGTATCAAGCTGCTTTTTAAATGAGCCCAATGTCGTAGCTGCATCCACCATTCCTGGCAGCCTGTTCCAGCTGTTGATTATCATCTGAGTAAAATAATTTTACTGTACTGGGAAATACATAAATGAGAGAGTGAAAAAGGCACAGAGGCCCATCAAGATTCTCCCCAAAGATTCCCTGCACTGCAGCAACCACACACACACATCTGCTGGTGCTGGCTATGGAGTGGCAAACCTCCCCAGAGAAAATCAAAAATTTTTACGTGAAATATTCCTCCTGACTCTAGGCAAGCAACTCCAGGAAAGGACCAAGCTACCACTGTCACAAGAGCATTGCTCAATATCCCCTTTGCCCTGCAAAACAGATAACAATATCACTTGCAGATTTGGTTTCCAATCTGTGAATACTGATATTATTCCAATAATAATCCTTACATTTGATAAAGCACTTTTCATGTCAGGAGGATGTCTCAAAGCAATTCACAAGATTTACTCTAAAGTGTAGCAGTTGTGTAATTTGTACACAAATACGGCAGCCAATTTTGCGCACAGCAATGTCCAACAAACAGCCATGAAGTGAGAATCCTCCTGGCATGTTCAGGATCTCAACAAAATTGGTCCTCAGTCCCCTCAGCTTCAGTGTGAACATGCCATTTTCTTGTCTCTCTCAGTGCATTGCATCGAAGGAGAAATAAAGTCATTTTTATTTTGTTACACACAGGGACCAGGCAAATGGATAGCAATAGTTTTTCCAGTTCCGAATGGGATTCACCAATAGTGGCTCAGGATCACCAACAGGGAATCCTGTCTTGTAATATGCCACAGCCAATTCACAAGAGCCCTGGTCCATAGCACTATAAGTAGATGCCCAGGATCCCTATTTCTTCCACTAATGTGCCAGTTACCAGCAGTTTCCTGATGCAAACTCTGAATTATTACAATACTGTATTAATGAATCTCACTATAACCTTTGCTTTTTCAATCTGTGCCTAAGTAACTATTTCTAACAGGATGTTCATAGTTCCCCCAACGAGAGTTAACAACATACTATATCACACAGTTTGTCACAGTTCTGTGTTCTCGCTGATTGAGAAAATGAATCCAGAAGCTATACTTTCAGATACACCAAGGCAACAGGACAAGCAAGCATGGATTCAGGGTAGTGAAGGACAATTTTAGCAATTCTTTATGCAGAGAGTAATCCATACCTGAAGTTTGTTACCTGAAAGAAAGCAGAGGCCAGGAAACTGGACTTATTTAACAACTAACTAACTGTCATGGAATGTGATAGTATGGTGTTCGGGAAGGATGAGATCAAATGAGTCCAAAAGGCTTCATTCATCGGAACCTCTCGTGATTTTGTGAAGATTATATGGAATAGCAGATAGCTGACAAGTGCTGTAATTCAATCAAGGGCCTTTGATGAGATCATAAGCCATGAGTGGGAAAAAAACATTCAGCAGTTTATGAATGTCAGCAAAACCCTGAGGTTGAATTGCAGCTTTAAACTCACTGCCAGCCATTTATTATTGTTCATGCTATCTACTAAATCACTAATATTTTTGTTTTTAAAAAGGAGTTTTCGGCTCTTCATGGTGTCATGTGTTGCGCCCACAGTGTACGTTAGCTGTTTCGTAATTTAGGTGAAAGAGCAATAAAGCTTGTTGTGATGTTTAACCAGAAGGTGTAGAGCATCACATGACTGAGTGTTTTCTTTTTAGCAGCAGAGTAATAGTATATAAATTGCTCAGTGTGGAGAAAGATGACTAATAGTTTCACAAGACAGTAACCTCATAGAAAGGTTCAGACCATTCCATACATTGTGTGGGAAATTCCCAATTAATTTGTAGCCCTTATCTGTACCAATAAGCAAAATTCCATCTTTGCAATGACATTGTCTGTTTTCCCCCAGTGTCCTGGCCAGTGATCCTCTACATTAATTGATGATTCACCTCATGGCTGTTTGTGGGACCTTGCTAGCACAAGAATCATAGAACCTTATAGCACAGAAGGAGGCCATTCGGTCCATTGTGTCTGTGCCGGTTGTTTGAACGAGCTATCCAACTAGTACCTCTCCCCTGCGTATTCCCCATAGCCTTGTAATTTTTTCCTTTTCAAGTAAATCCAATTCCCTTTTGAAATGTATTATTGAATCTGCTTCCACCACCCTTTCAGGCAGTCCATACCAGGATTGTAACAACTCGCTGGGTAAAAAATTTCTCCTTATCTCCCCTCTGGTTCTTTTGCCAATTATCTTAAATCTATGTTCTCTGGTTACCGACCCACATGCCTATGGAAATAGTTTCTCCTTATTTACTCCGTCAAAACTCCGCATAATTTTGAATACCTCTATTAAATCTCCCTTTAACTGTCTCTGCTAGAAGGAAAATTAATGTTACAAATGAGTGCTATTTTGATCCACAAAAACAGTCACTTACTTGACAGTAATTACCTGTGGAACACTTTGAGATCTTTTGTTATGATTAGAGTGTTGTAAAATTGTCAGCTCCTTTTTCTTTTACTCTGATACTTTTAATGGGGTTTTAAAGTTTATGTTTGTACATATTTTTGGAAAATCCTTATGCATTTTGATTCCATTCGCTTATGGACGCCAAATCCAGCCAAAACCCTCATGACCTTAAGGTGACCTTATTTGTCACCTCTTATCAGGATTAGTAAAACACACTCCTCGCCGGTCTCCCCAGCTCCACTATTCAAAATATCCAGCTCATTCAGAACTCTGCTGCCTGCATACTGACCCGGACCAAACTCCGTACCCATATTTCACCAGATCTCACCAGATTTTGCCCACAAATATACGGTCAATTTACTTTACAGTATAGTTTGTGAAGCGCTTTGAGACATCTAGAAGATGTGAAAATCGCTATATCAATTGCAAGGATTATTATTATTATCTGACCAGGCTCTACTGGCTCCCTATCACTGAACGGATCGACTTCAAGATCCTCACACTCGTGTTCAAATCCCTTCACTCCCTGGCACCTTCCTACCTCTCCAACCTCCTCACTCCCCATTCCAACTCCCGGCGTCTCCACTCGACTGGCACCGGCCTCCTGCTTGACCCTCACATCCTCTGTTCCGCAATCAGAGGTCGCGCTTTCAGCCGCTATGCCCCCAAACTCTGGAAAACTCTCCCTCTATCCCTCCGCCTTACCACTTCTCTCCCCTTTTTCAAGTCCTGCCTGAAAAGCTTCCTTTTCGCCGTAGTTACAGCCACCTCCCCCCACTGGCTCGGAATCAGGCTCTGCCACTATTAAGCTCTCTGAGACGCTACCCTGTGTGGAGTGCGCTATACAAGGGCAAGTTGTTGTTGTTGTCACTCCACTTTACACTATATCTTGTGAAGCGCTTTGTGACATCTTCCAGATAGGAGAGGCACCATATCAAATGTAAGAGTTATTATTATTACTTGATGGCGGAGGGAGATGATATTGGTGGATTAAGTTTGTTGGTGTCATAGTAATGTGTTTTGAGCAATATCTTCAAGTATTGGGATTCAATTGAACCCCAAAAAGTATTTAATGAGCCAAATTGATATTGATGGTGGGTTGTATACTGGGATTAGTCTATTTGCTTTGTTGGCAGTGGCATGGGAGGCACTTTGTGTAGCTGATGTAGGATGGCATCTTTAATGGAGGATTAAACATCATGACATGATTGCCGCATACTTATTAAGAAACAAAGTGGTCTGCTTCCAGGGAAGTTTTTTTTCAATAAAATAGTGTCCAATTATTTTTCAACTTTTCTTCCACTAACGTATGCTTCTCTGCTCCCATTCTGGCCTCCTCTTGCTGGGTTGTGGTTCTGTGGGCTCTGTTGTTCTCCAAAGTAGCTATTGTGTGAGTCATATTATGGGGGTTTGCATTTCAAGGCACTTTTTCTAGCAGCAAAGCACTAACTGGTCATATTATCACTTTCTATAGGAGTATTTTTACAATGTTTAGCAATCTGCTTTTTGAGTTATGAAGATCAATGCAGAGATAAATCATTTCATATTGTGCATGATGCAGTATAAAACATGTCGTGTTTTTACTCTATTAAAGAAACTGTATTTAAATTACCGTGGTTGTGTGTCTTTCTTTTTCCAATGAAGAGACATCAAATATCAGAGAGGAGAATAACACTTTTGCTTTGGCAAACAACAACAACAACAACAAGATTCCATTTATAGAGCGCCTTTCACGTCGGGAGGACGTCCCAAGGCGCTGTACAGTTGGGTCAGGACCCGAGTNGGGGGGAAATGGTCAGGGTGAGGGGTGGGAAGGGAGGGAGCGAGGAGGGGGTAGAGAGTCGAGAGGGGAGCTGAAGGCACGGTCAAAGAGAAAGGTCTTGAGACCGGCCTTGAAGGAGGAAAGGGAGGAGGCAAGGCGAAGGTACTGGAGGATAGAGTTCCAGAGCCTCGGGGCTGAGAGGCTGAAGGCCCGGCCACCGATGGTAGGGCGGTTGGGGCGGGGGATGTGGAGCAAACCGGAGCCAGAGGAACGGAGGGTACGGGCAGGTAGGTAGGGGGATAGTAGGTCAGAGAAGTAGGAGGGAGCAAGGCCGTGAATGGCCTTGTAGGTGAGGATGAGGATCTTGAATTCGATCCTCTGGGGGATGGGGAGCCAGTGGAGGCGAGCGAGGGTGGGAGTGATGTGGTCCTGGTGCGGGACAGTACACGAGCTGCAGAGTTCTGAATGACCTGCAGCTTGTGGAGGGAGGTGCCGGGAAGGCCGGCGAGAAGAGAATTCCTATAGTCCAGCCTTGAGGTGATAAAGACGTGGACCAGAGTTTCAGCAGCGTGAGGGGTGAGGTAGTGCCGTAGTCTGGCGATATTCCG